CTATATCTTGAATTGTAACGGAAATATTTAGATGACATTGTATGCATAGAGTTTATTATAGAAACAAACACTACGTTCAAGACAAACGAATCATGAAATCTCTTGCTGATGGTTAATAGCTTTATTGAAGAAGAAGATTTATTTTTTCTTCCTTATGGATAAGACAGAAGAACACCTGATACTCTAACATCATTTAGGCTAGCATTCGTTGTTATATTCATACATAATTCTGCAACAGTAGCGATATGTATGTGATGTTCATGATATGATGGAAAAGGCATACAGTTGGACAAGATGCTATTCTAGTAATAGTTAAAATGTTGCTTGAAACCCATTTATTCTACTATATTAGAATGTGTAATGATAAATAAAAAGGAAAAAGAATTACTGTCATTTCAAAAATACTCAAAGATGATGGCGTAATTTGTCACTAATTAATACTGTATGACCTACATGTTTCTAATTGTCTCTTGTTGAAAAACTCCAATTAATCTTCTCCAATTATGTACTCTAATTTAAAATGAAAAGGTTCCTTTAGAAACTGCTAATTAAAATGTCGTTGATCTAAAAAATTTAATTATTTACATAATATTTATATTTTGTAGATAAATGAGAAAAAGGAAACATTTCATTTCGTCTCTCTTGTCACATGAAATCAATATTTGTGTATTTTTTTGTGCTACAGTTGTATATACGTATCTATCTTTATCTTTAATGGAATACACCAACTGTGTTCTCATTATTCGGTTTTGCTTTGATTTTTTTTTCTTCTACACGTCTATAATTTATTTAATTCCAGAGGCAATTACAAACATACGCACACAGACTGTTTCTGATTCGATCTAATTGTGCACAATTGCTTTACATTTCTTTAGTCATCACATAACAAAATAACTAGTAATCGACTTGAAGTTCACATATTCTCAGTACAAGCCTAAATCGATACAGTTTTAAATTTTAGATTGGGTGTAAAACACCAGTGAAACGAGATTTATGTTTTTTGATTGCCCTAATTCGTTAAACCTGCATACTACGGAGCTATGAGATCCCTTTTTTCATAGCCTTATATTTCTAATTTAAAATTAGATTCAAAGAAAAAATTGTATAGCTGCTTTTTTTGTCGGTTTTTGGACAGTTTCACATATTTTTACAAAAATAGGAAAACTTATTTCTGCCCAAATGCATCGATTACACTCAGTTTCTTTATGCTCTTTAATATAAAAAATTTGAAAGTTATAATTATTTCGAATTTTTCAGATTTCACGCTATTACCCATGAGGACAAAATGGACCAAATAAACTGTGGTTGTTTAGTGCCAAAGAATATTCAGGGAAGATATGGTGATAAAGTGCGATCTTTTTTGCATTGTGGTATATCATCAGTCATCATTACTACATTAGACACCAGTAAAATATAATCGTACTATACCGGGATAACTGAAACTATCACAATATGAGCGGATTTTATCATTGAGATTTAGATGAGACTTTGCGCCTATAATTTTTATCCTAATATAGCTGAAAATAGCTATTAAAATCAGAATATTTCCACTGATTATTACGATGCCTTCTCTCTGCTGATCAATATCATGTTATGACAGTTTCAATAATGTTTTAATTCTCTGCTTGTTAACCTTAGCAGTAACGCAATAATGAGGTGTAGCAGGATATAGAGTAATAAAACGTTTTCATTCGTTGGATATCATAATATCAGAACGTGTTTCAATACTTGTCATGTTTATAACACTAAGTCTTGCATTCGACTGGACAGATGAGTCATCATACATTGTAAGAAATACTATCACGATAAACATCAAATCTAACGTTATAAATGTTGAATCATCGGCAGTTTATAACAGCTAGAAAAAAAGTGATCTGATAATATGAAGCTTTTAGTAGTATAATTCCATTTATCTATAAAAGTAACTAACGAGAGGACGTTCCCAGGTGGCAAAAACTTTTTTGATGAATCATGCTTTTGAAAAGAGATTATGAATTTGATATTCATTCCAACTGTTGGGCTGTTCTGATAACGTCTCTATCATGAACTTTCACAGTAAACATTTCTGCGATTATCAATTCAAAAAGAATATAAAGTTATACATGTGAGCAAATTATTACCATTAACTAAAAAGTGTTCACAGTGACAAAGAATTTGCACTTTTTAAAATAGTTTAAAAAATTCACAACTTGTACATTGTACATAGAAATTCGTATAGCTAGGTCTCGAAAACAAATGTTAATAATTTGTGTACATATGTAACTTGATATATCTACAACTTCGTACTCTCAAAAATGCTTAATTTGAAGGATCGTAATGTTACAAACATACAAACCTTAAAATATCATTTTTTATATGAATTTGAAATTTGTAAGAAGCAAATCTAAATGCGTCCACGAATACTTTCTCATCTTCAAACATCAACGTCGATAGAAAACGCTAAAAGCAATTGCATTGATAGTTTTAATTTTTATAAATTTTTTCACAGTACAGTTCTCTATAATACTCAAACAATATGCAAAATTGATATTTAATAATTCAAAACGTATAATATACTTTACTCTTGTCTAAACTTCAACTAAGGTGGCCGGTTTTTGTTTCTTCTATCCAAAAGTAACCGACTTTGTATGAGATAATACTTGAGTAATTATCTCACTTGAAATTTACAAAATACACAGTATACATGAGCGAAGTTTTATTCGATTAGAAAAAAGATTTATGAAACAACTGACGCATGTAGAATACTGAATAAAAGTCAAATCTTCTGACAAAAGCGATTTTCTATTTTCATATTTTACATCGTAGAAAAACTAAATAAAAATCTTTGAATAAAAGAATGAATTGGATGAAGTTTGAACTCACCTCTTAATAAAAAAAGCTTTTTGCTAGAGACATCACAGAAAACAAAACCTACTTTTTCTTGGGAAACACTAAAAAAAATTTGTGAACAGCGTTTTATATATCGAAAATCCTGGCTTTAAACTCTTCCATCTTAATATCATCCTTATTTTGATTGACCATACGAGACGAAATGATGTTTTTTAAAGAAAGAAAGAATAAAACAGGCAGTAAAATGGAGAAATCACTAATCAAAATACAGTACATAGAAAAAGAGACCAATAGAAATATAACAGAAACGAATCTTTGAAGTATATTTTTCTTTCTTTGTTCGTGTATTTCTATCAATAAAAATTTTTTTCTTTCACTGGTCATGTATCAGACTGAAGAAACAAATGACGAATGAAATTTGAGATATTTAAAAGAAAACTATCGAATAATAGAAGAAAAAATAGATGTTAATTATCCGAGTTTTTTTTCCGATTAGTTAAAGCAAAGAAAAAGAAAAAATTATATGTTTTTCTCATGTTAGTAGATGAATATTATTACTGATCGACATAATTTTCTTCTACTAACCGTACTAATTATTAACTAAGAAGTTAAAAGTCAAAAAAAGTGTTTTCTTCAAAATTATATTATCTGGGCGTGTTTTTAAAGGCGTTTCCAACGCATGTTAGAAGGATTTAAAGTTTTTCTACTAGAGAAAGATAAATCTATTACAATTTCGAGGAAGAAGAAAAAAAATATAACGAATAATTATATAGTTGATTCAAAACGAGGTAATCAACACAATACGGTTTTTTCTTCTCCATATCCATTTTTACAACCGCGAAAAAAAAAATTAGAAGAACAAAAGCGCTATACATTGTTATTATAGATCATATAGACATTCACGCTGTGTTTCCTGGAAGTTAACGCCCATGGCTGCATTAATAACAGGGGTAAGTGTATATACTCGAGGATGTATACTCGTATATTGGTGTGTATAGCATCCGTCATTCTTCAATATCATATGCGAAAATAATAGGATCGAGATATCAAATGGAACTTGTAAAGTGAAAATCCTACTATCTATGCGTCAGTTCGTCTGCTTCTTTTTACAGCAGACATCAAATTACAGTTAAAAATGAGCAAATCTTATATCCGTAAAGCTGATGATACTGTTTTAGTCTGATATCTAGGGAAAATTATGAGATATATTGTCTCTCGCCGCAAAAAAGACGTATCTTTCTATGTGTTTGTTTATTAGTGGTCAACGATTTGAAATTGAAATTCGTCTTGGGCAATAGCCACTACAGAAAATCTGCGCAAGTAGAAAATAGTATTAAATTTTAGTTTTTCTTATCTTCCTTTCAATGTTAAGAATGAAAGACGAGATTGTCTGCCAGCGTTTAGCTGTTTTTATAACAGTCTCCCATCTTCAAGAACTTTTGATAATAAGATTCGATCGCAAATGAATAATTAAGTTTTTTCTGAAAATAGACTCAATGCAATTAAATTCTCTCATGACAACTATCGTCATCCTCGTTACAAATTACAGTTTTCTGTAATTGATTTGGCAGCGTAAGTAAAATCCGCCACTGATTCTCTTTTCTCTCATTACTGGGCAACGTTCTGGAAATTTTTTGAAAAATAAACGCACACATTTCAGTAAAAGAATAAATTCAGTAAATTCTAAACGTTTTTTATACATTTTTAATTTACTTTTGTGTCATGAAAAGCACACTGTGACAAAACAAGTAAAAATATCAGATTGAAACAGGTTCATTTATATATTATTATGTGTGTACAGACAATATACACTTATTTTTTTGGATTGGTAATTGTGCGTATAAACAGCATTTTGAAAGAATAAGAAAGAGAGAAGAATAAACAACAATTGTAGGGTAAGAACCCCCACCGATCCTATTTCAATGGTCTCAATCAACCGAATATTTCTTAATTATTAAGTAGTAAATAGAATATGTGAACACATTAAGTCTTTTCTATAAATGTTCCAACAAGTCTTGTGTATGTGCGTGTTTGATTGATTCACGATATCAAATATCACCAGTCTTTCTCTTAATTGTTTTATTCAATCATGATAGACATATCAAAGAGCCTATGTTAGTTAGATTCACGCGGCTTTTTTCTTGCAGGATTCTACTGGTACACCGCTGGCAATGTTAGCTGCACAATGTAATAAAATATCGACGAATAATCCCAAATATTCTCAACTATCATCGACAAATTCATCTCCAATATCGCGAACAAGCTTTTACGCTTGGAAAAAACCAAATTCAGCAACGTCTCCACAAACGATACCATCAGCATCATCCTATCCAAATGTCATTCAAGTTCCCTCACAACGATCATTGAATCCTCCAAGTGATTTATTCTACACAAGTTTATCATCTCATATGCATAACAACAACGATCAACAAGATTCAACGTCAGCATCATCAATTTCAAATTCATTAGGTCGACTTCGACAAGAGGCAGCTCAAGCAGCATACGAACACGTTCTATTAAACGGGAGTGGTCATCATCTGACATCATCTATCAATGATGCTCCAAATTGGCTCAATAATCACTCATGGACAAATGATCCACAACCACAATTAATGTTTTCTACAAATAGAAATACGAATGATAATCAGTTTAGCGGATCGGCTTACACGGATTTATTATCAGTTGGTCACTATTCGGATAATAGTTATCGAAATGAATTTCGCTTGTTTCCTCCACCGCCACTCCCACATCATCACAATCCTCATATCCATCAACTTCAACAAAACAATCACACATCAACACCAATTCCAACTCAACAACAGCAGCAACAACAACAACAACAACAACAACAACAACAACAATCAATGAACAGTTCAAATACAGGTGGAGTGTCTTCTATAAATATAAAACAGCCGAAAAGTAGTCGTGCTCAATGCGATTGCCCTAATTGTCGCGAAGTCGATCGTTTGGGACCAGCTGCTGCTCATTTACGAAAACGAAATATACACAGTTGTCATATACCAGGATGTGGAAAAGTGTACAACAAAACGTCTCATTTGAAAGCACATTTAAGATGGCATACAGGCAAGAAAATGAAAACATTACGTTAAACTAACAACATCACTTTAGAAAAATCATGCACACACATTTTATTTTATTATGTTTTCAACCTAACTCTCATTTGAATTAAAGTATGATAGAAGATGATAGCACATAAATTACGTACTTCTTTTGTTTTGAGAGATAAAAGGTTGAAGTTCAGCGGTACAATGTCCTGTTTAGGTTTAGGATTCAGGAGTAACGCTCAAATTTGTCTGAAAAACAGTGAGTTTACTGAGTAGTAAGTTGACAGATTGCCTCTGTTACAGTAAATAACTTAGTTATATTTTTGTACTAAAAAAGTCTAAAATTCATTTCGAATAATAAGAGGAAAATTTCTTTTGTCACAGCAAAATACCAAGGTTGTAACATATTAACAGCGGAGAGTCCAGAAATGTTGTTTACAAAATGCGGTTATTCTAAGATTGTCGCGTTTTTCTGGCAAAAATTGATAAAAACATGGTTTTGGGATTCGATTGCATTTTGTTGAATGACACATTTTATCGATTTTGAGAACTATAATTAGATTATGTCTATTAAAAGTGTTTTATATACAACAGTTTTCTTTCTCTCTCTCTCTCTCTCTCTAATTTAAGTGACCTGTTCATATTACACAAAATGCCACACACCATTTAGATATACTAGGAAACGTTTCTTTTTCCTTTTATATGTGAGAAAACATCTAGTTTCTTGTCTTATTATTTCAAAAACATCACGTTGTCATCGTCATCTTACATTTGATAAAAATTTGAATTGACCTCTGACACGCACTGATAACATTTTCTCTAAAATGACATTGTGATTTCATGTATTAATGTAGATTGTAGAACAAACGATAAAGTGACAAAAGCCGCACTTCTCTCTTATACCTGTGAAAAGTGACACTATTCGATGATTTTAGAGAGGCGTATCCTGCTGATTAAGACAAAATTCAATAGTATATACACGTCATCATCATCATCATCGAGAAAAATCCATAAGAGATTTGATTGAATTATTAATTATATCAATTTCTTTATGTTTTACTAGGCGAGCGGCCATTTGTCTGCAATTGGCTATTTTGTGGAAAACGTTTTACCAGATCAGATGAACTTCAACGACATCTTCGAACACATACAGGTTTGTTATATTTATATGCATATTAAAAAAATACTTTAGGCTCGATAAAATAAATTTTTAACTCTCAAAAGTAATGATCGAGATGTCAATTATATTCCAGGATTTAATCTAAAACTAGTAGAAAGTTGATATTTTTTCCATAGAACAGGGTCTCTTGTTTAGAAATCCTGAACTGCACGTTTTACGTATATCAATGAAGGTTCACGGGGATTTCTAAAAGTCGTAAGAACATTTTACGAATTTTTTTGTAACTGTTTTCGACAGAGCGTATCAAGCCCAGTTATTCATAAAGGAAGTAAATTAACCTTAAACAAAATTTCTGACGATTTAAAATTCTTTTCCATAGTATTCAGAAGGTATTGAACATAACTGCAAGTTGTAAATGAGTGTACGTATCATAAATTTTGATAATTTTTCTTTAGTTATGGTTATAATTAGCTGGTAATTCATGATTTCTAAACTAGAGACCATGTTCTATTTAATGGAAAAAATATCAACTTTCTACTAGTGTTAGTTTAAATTTTTGAATAATTGAGATTTTGATCATTACTGTTGCATCGAGATTTCGCACGTTTACGTTGATTTACTTCTCTAATTTGTTGCTTATTCATCCTATATAATTTGGAGAATAGTTCATATACACACATTTTAAAAACAAGTTGATCAAATCCGCCCATATTTCAAAATATTCTAATGAAGTTTATACCTAAATCATCTTTTTCTGTATCTGAACGATAATCATGTATAAAAAATATGACAAACATTTATTTCGAAAGAACATTGAGATAATTAACTCAGTTGGCAAGTCTATTATTTATTGAATTGTTCATGCGTAGATGATCATAGGTTAGTTCGATATTGAACACCAATCAATCAAATAATAAGACCTTGACTGATAGATATACAGATAATCTTCACCTTATTAGAGATGGTAACTAACCTCGAGATAATAAAGCGAAACCTTTTTCCCATACAAACAAGTTTGATTATTATGTAGTATATTTGTATATTATTTCTAGGAGAAAAACGATTTGCTTGTCCAATCTGTTCAAAACGTTTTATGCGTAGTGATCATTTGAGTAAGTAAAATGGAAATTCTTTTCTAACAATTAATAATAATTCGTGCTACTTCCCTGCTTAGATAAACATGTTAAAACTCATTCGATAAATTCTGTAAATGGTACAAATCAAACACGAAAAATCGATTCAGATTCAGAAAATAGTCGAGAAGATAATCATCATTTATTGCATGATATTAAACGTGAACCAAGAATGAATGAATAAAAAAAGATTTCATTAATTGAAGAAGATATAAAATCTTGTTGTGATTTTCTTCAGCTGTAGTAGAAACCGACAAGAATTTTCCTTTCAGTGTGAACACGTTTCGCTCAACTATTTTTTTTCTTCTTATTTTGTTTTTTTTTTGTCTAAAACTTAGACTGTTATATTCGTGTTTAATTTCAAGAAAAGAAACGACCGTAATTAAATTTATGAGTTGTCAAAGATCAAGATCAATCCCACTGAAAACAGTAGTGCTTGGAGCTTGGGGAGACGTTTAGATACGTGAAAAACAACATTTTTCCTCTCTAAAATAACAGATGGAAAGCAAGTACTCAAATATTCTATCGAGAGTCAGATATATATTATTTATTGCAATTATTATAGTTAAGGCTCTCCGTCAGAAATACATTTTTTTTTAATGGAAAGTCCTATTAAGCTAGGTACATTATCAGATAGCCCATTATGTCTACTAACAGGATCCATAGTTATTTGGTGTTCGTCAATGTGGTATGAAGGTTTTTCGAAAAATTTTTGAAAAACGTTGAAAAACCGATCTCTCCAAAAGTTATGCTTTTCCAATAAAAGACCAAAGCCTAAAATAGTTTCAATAATTTCGAATGTAGAGAAAACATCTCTGATCAAAATAGGACGTCTACCAGTTCTGGATGATGTTCTAATCAAACATTATGAGAGTTTTGCTAGAAGTCTTAAAATATGGACCAAACATCGTATCAGTGACGGATCTAGAAAACATTTTCGGTGCTAGCGGCTTTGTACAAAAGAGCAAGTTTAGCAACTTTACTTCGGAGTTTCTAGGCGACACGATTTCTACTTCTTTCGCGCTCGACTCGGTGCACAAGAAGGAGAGTATAATAGTATGAAATTAAAAATTTCGGCCATCACAAATCCGCTACTGCATCGTATCTCGAAAGCGGAGGTCAGTGCACAGCATTTCGTATTTGCAGGTCTTCTCAGTCAAATTCAGTGATATAGAGCTCGGGTTGGTTGTAAAATGAAGTCAACCTACGTGACTAGAGGTTGGCAAATCCAGATTTTTTTAATTCTGTTGTAGCTATCAATAAAAAGAGGATTTTTGAAAAAGATTTTAACTTTCGATGTCCGCCCAAAATTAATTCTGAATTCGGGCTCTTTCAGCCTCTAGTCACATGTGTTGACTTCATTTTGAAACCAACCCGAACTCTTCAACTTTTTCAAAAATTTTGAGAAATACAAACAGTTTCATTTTGACTACCCAGGTCAACCGGAACGGACAGTTAACGGTCAACTATAAAAAGGCACGTTAACGATTTAAAAACGGTCTAGAAATGGTCCATTACCGTCACTGTAAACTGGCTTTTTGAGAGTGTCAATTCATAGTCTAAAAACGGGTCATTCACTGATGTGATCAGGGGCAGCCGGACAGTTGCTCGCGAGGACATTTGCACGCGGACAGATGCTCGCAGACAGTTGCTGGTATGACAAGTTGCTCACATGGACTGATGCTCGCTAGGACTAATGCTCGCCCGGACAGATCCTTGTAGGACACTTGCTCGTAGGGACTTATAAGACTGATATTCAGAACCAGTACGAGAATTTTATTTATTTATTTAAAACAAAGTAGACTGACATAACTTCGTGTCCAACAACCACTTCAAAAACCAATCCTGATAACATTATTTAAATCTGTATGAAGATAAACATTTTTTTTGAAATTCACATTTCCAATAAACCTTTTCTTCATTCTTTCGATCGACAATATGTGAAAAACCATTGTGAAGAAGTAATGGAGCGTTTTTAGAGGTTTTAAAAACAGTGATAGACATTTTGAACAGTGAATGAAAGATTATGATACCTTGCCTAAAAATTTTTTGCAATTTATACTCTTCCCAAAATTCCGTAAAAATTATATTGTTTATGAACAGTCATCAAGTATACACAAAATTATTCAATATAAGAAATAATAATTAGTTTGAACCTATATGATAAACGACTTTAACGTTTCCATTTAACAGATACTTTAATTAGTTTGAATACATTTCGTAAACTACGTTATTATTCCTGTTTAAAGTATTCGGTGAGCAAGTGTCCGACGAGGATCTGTCCGGGCGAGCATTAGTCCTAGCGAGCATCAGTCCATGTGAGCAACTTGTCATATGAGCAACTTGTCTGCGAGCATCAGTCCGCGTGCAAATGTCCTCGCGAGCAACTGTCCTAAACCCGTGATGAGGCATAGTCTATGCTGTATACTGTATACGGACCGTTTCTAGACCGTCTTATCGACAAGTCATTTACCTCTTTTATTTTGCTGTCATTACCATTAATAGTGTATATACAACGCTGAGTCTCTTCGAATAACTTAGAATTTTAGAATTCAATACTGTTGTGGCGACATCTCGTGAACAGAGGTAGATGGAGTAAAAAAAAAATTTTGTCACAGGACCAACATTCCCTGAAACTTGTTCTTAAGATCTGACCTATGGTTACCGAGATACGTTTCTTCACTCTCAAAAAAAGGTTGGTCAATAAATTTACTAAATGGGTTCGAGAGAATAAAAAACCCATTCCGAAATCTCTGAAGGTATTTCATCAGCCCAAAAGTCCATTCCTAAACCTAAAGATCGATGAAACAATACTTAAAGATTTCGGAACGGGTCTCAGAAAGCTTGAGTTTATTGATTTGTAACTGTCACGTAGCTTTTTTGATTTGAGCAGCGTCATCAATCCATTTTGGGTTCGGAAAGTTGTTAATAACCCCATATGAGGGTGAGCAAGAGAAACTAGCACAAGTCTTACTACGAAGATGGTTTTTTAGAACTACAGCCTAGAATTTTATCTTGATCCGACCGTAGGCTTGGTTTATCCTTTTGTTCTCAAAACTGAGCCCTCTTTGGTATAGCACCAAGTTTTATCTTTAGTAGGTTTTGTTAAGATCAGTTACTATCACTCATATCTTACTCGTTTGATTTTTAGACAATTTCTCAATATGCCAATTATTACTGGCGTGGCGATTAAATAAGAATCAACTCTTCATTATAAGACATCAATTTTGTACGTATTTTCGTTCACTTATTGAAAAAGTTTGTATGATTATCACCAAATTTTTCAGCATGATCTCACATTTTTATTTCTCAACAAAGTATAATGCCAACAGGATGTGTTACCACACCGGAAAACGAGAACATTCAATGATTTAGCTTAAAGAGTATCAATCTTGATACCCCTGATATTAGTACAAAAAAGCTGTTGAAATTGATATCGGCTTCCAGATGATCTTTTTGTTGTGTGAATATAATGTGAAACGAAAAGAACCTATAGATTTATATAAAGATGTTTCAGAATGAAAAATTAGATTCTTAATTAATTAAGATATTGTATAAAATGTTACGATGATATCCACCGTGTGGTTCATTTCCATTATTATTCAAGCGTGTGTTGTCGCTCGATGGTGCGACTGTGTAAATAAAGCAAATTTTACCAATTATTTGAATAATGCATTTGAAAATTCTTCAGATGACATTCGACGCACTTGGGTGTTAATTGCATTGATGGATGATTATCGTGGCTATTCATCTGATTGTTCGTCCTAAAGTTGACTTAAATGGAAAAATTCCATGTTCGAACTCATAATTAAATGGCGCACATTTACAAACTGAATACTACTTTTGGTTCGATTCAAATTTCTAAAAAAATGTCAGAATCAGGTTATATTGGTTATTATCGAGAAGGTTGATAATACAGCTTTTATAGGTTATCAAAAAGAGTCAGAGTTTAGAACGAGAAACCAATTTCTATTACCCATGTACCTTTTACTCGCGCAGTGAGGTACATTTTATACTCTAAAACTCGATCTGTTAGCAGTCTAAAAACGACTGGATAAGTTCGTTTACTACACTGTTTTTCGCTCAAATTTCAGCGGAAACTAGCGTCGCTCAGAATCACAGAACATGCGGACAATTTTGAGAAGATTCCAAATAAAACAAAACTTTCTTGTTCACATTGCAGCATACTTTATCACAATTTATGGTAAATTTATTGTTGTTCTTTCATTAGTATACAGCATTTTACGTATATGCAAAATTTCGTAAAAAAACAACTAATGCTTGAAACTAACACGTTTGAAAAGATCACTTATCTATTTCCTAAAACTTCGGTCTGCGTTGTGAACATGTGAATCCGAACTAATGATATATCATAATGAATGATATCCTCCGTATTTTCTTTTTACTCTTTTTCTTTTAGGTTCCTAGGCTTAATGTTTTTTAAAAGGTTCGTTACTTCATTCTCTACAGAAAACATATCGAACATTTTTCTATATATTGTAAAATAAAAATATATAGAGGAAATACTGCGAAGCTTCAATTTTGATTTTGACAATTTTGCAATTCGTTGAATCAAAAACGAATACTCGTATTGAAATAAAACCAAAACCACATTTTTATAACGAATATGACTCCTGCTATCATTTATTATATGAATGATATATGATCGAAACTTTAGTGATGATGTCCATTTAAAGGTGGTTTGCTACTGCCAATAGTTTGAGGCATCAGCACAATGGAAGCCTCCTATCGTTTCTCCTGTTACTCTAGTTGCCATGAGACTAGATTCACGTTCTACACAGAGATTTACCGGGAATCCCGCGACATTTTAAAGTTCCCAGCTCCCATGAGTTTTAATAAAATCACCTTCATCAGAGACATTTATCTTTTTGTTTTATCGAGTCGCATAATATAAACCCATTGATTTTGTGAAAAAAAATTTTATGTTTCTGGAGTTTTTATTGTCACATTAGTGACTGTGTATTACAAGTCATACTAACCTCGACCATCATATGAACAAAGTGATGAAATGTCCAATGCCAGAGATGTGAGATAACTATCCCGGGAAGGGATGCGCAGGATTTAACTGGGATGATGTGAAACGCATGGTTACTACATAATGGCTATGGCTATCTAGGATAGTCATGTCATGTCACGCCTCTACCACATGCTAACCAAAAGAAC